TATATATATAATTAAAATTATATTTCACTAGTAAATAGTATTTCAATAAAAGCTGAACCCCTGACAATAGAAATTTCATTCAGATTTTTTTAAACCAGAGTTTTTTTTCCCCACCAAAAAAAAAAAAACAAAAAAAATAAGAAACAAGGAAAAGAAAACAAAATATAACAAGCAGCAGCTAATTAATAAACCATGCAGTATAATCTGATCAAGCATGGTTCATGGCGAGCTCAAACTGCCTCAGAGCGAGCGGAGGAAGGAAGAAACTGAGCTGATCAGGAGCTCTCCCGCAGCCATCCATGGCGTCAAGACCAGCCATACTGGACCCATCAGCGCCAACATGAGCCAAATGCTGCACATCTGTTGGGTATCCAATCTCCTTTATGTCAAATTCATCCTCTCGGTCTCTCTCGAAGAAGAGTTGGGAGAAGCTCTTGATGCCTTTCATTACTGCTTTGTGGATTCCGGCGCTTATGTTGATTGCTCCTGATAGACCTTTGGCCATCAGCTTTGCCTGATCTCTATCTCGTGCCTCCACAACTGTTAGAAAAAAAAAATAGAAATTTGAAAGGAAATGTTTAAAATGTTTCAGTCAGCAGGATTCTTGGCGCATTTAGGGTAAAAGAAATGATGGGCTTTATTATAATATCAAAGATAAGTTTTTTATGCGGCAGAGTATCCCTTTTCTTATGAATTAGGCTTTGTATAAAGTATTTAAATTTATTTTGTAAAGAAAAAATGTAGCTGATTGTATTAATTACATAATGAGCAAATTTTTAGTACTCTCCTCTGTCTCTCTCTCTGTGTACACGCAACATAAGAATCACTTGATTATTAATATATTTCAATCAACTCAAAATAATTCTAAGATTTTAAAAACAGAAAATTATGGCCCTGACACAAATTTTCACCAACAAAAGCATCATTATCTGATAATCAACTAACTTTCTCTACAATTATATGCAGAAATTAAGAACAGAGATCTTAACTTACTTGACAGTGCTGAAGGAGCTCGCTCTGATTTTGATCTCCTTGGAGGACCGCTCTCTAACACATCCACGCTTGCTTGCGATACACAGCTCACCGAGAAAGGAAACCCCACGAATCTCTCCATTCTTTCTCTCATGTCTTCGAGCTGCTACAATGGCGGAGAAAGAATTAAGAAAACTTTTATTTACAGATAGAGAGAGAGAGAGACAGAGACAGAGGATGTAGGCTTGGATTTGATGTTGGTAAAGATCACAGGAGAGATATGGATGTAAGGTTTGTTATATTTGGGAGAATAGGGGAGGCTGGCTTTGGGTGGAAGATAGTATGATTTTGTGAAGAAGTGAAAGGTGGGACTTAGCAGGAAAGGTTGGTGTGATGGAGTGATAGGTGGTGGGTTGGTTGTGTTGGGTTGGTTAGTTGAGGCCATGTCTTTTTATTATTACTATTTTAATTTTTTTCTTTTTTTTGGATAATTGATCTGTACTCCAGTAATAGATATATCTTGTTTTAGTTTGTGTTCATTAAAAACTATATTTATGATGGTGATGGAACTTAGCTACTTTAGCGAAGAGAGGGATTATAAGAAATTTGCCCTAGTAAGCCCTAATATGTTTGGGGAAGATCATTGAACATTTTTTTTTTTTTTTTGGAATTGACATTTATAAATAGGGGTTTTTACCTTAATTTACAAATAAAGGCTCTCAAACATTTAATTTACTCATGAATCTTAATGCAAATTTGTATCAGGTGTCTAATGATAAGGTGTCACATGACAACCGGAGCTCGAACCGTGTATGTCAGTAAGCCCAAATTACCATGTGACTCAACACCTGATCAGGTGTCTAATGATAAGGTGTCACATGACAACCCGAGCTCGAACCGTGTATGTCAGTAGGCCCATGCAAATAACTTCTCACAAAGACTTTGTCGCTGGAAACTCTAGGCGACAGCAACCCCGCTCCGACGATCCTCCGTCGAAAAACTATATTCTCCACCATCTCCCCCGTCCAACCCTGCCTCCAACCTCCCACATCGTCGAATACCACCGCACTTCCTCCATAAACCCACCCAAAAATCATCCTTTTCTTTCGGCAGCCATAGCCCATCCCTCCTCCTCCACCAATGCCACGACTTTAGCACCGAACTCGGCAGTGCTTGTGAGAAACGATCGAATCAAAGCAGGGGAGTGATGCTTGTGATGCGGCGCGCAGTTGAACACGATTGCTTTCCCGTTCAACACCTTCACCGCCGTCGGCCGGAAACAATCCTTACGATCAAGCCGACATTGAGCGAATGAAAACGACAGACTGATCGACGCAGCAAAAGCTGTCGGCTTTCTCCCTGTTTCCTGCACCGCCGCCGAAGCAGAATTCCGCGCTGCTGTCAAGGCTGTAATCTTTACATGCGACGGCAGAGAACCTTCTTTTCTCGACACAAAAGCCTGCATAAGCGGAGTCCGCTGAGCTCCCTCCGTATATCAAAGTCCACGATGTGAACCCGCCACTCATCGACCACACAGAGGCGAGGATCGTCGAATTGGAGACCGGGAAGCCCGCAACGAAGTTGTGACGAGCCTTGATCTGTGTGGTCGATGAGTAAATGTATATGTATTTTCATTACTAACATTTCATTGATCTGTGTGGTCGATGAGTAAATGTGTAAACCTCTATATGTAAACATCTCTTATGAATTTTCATTAGTAAATCTCTATGAAATTTGTTACTTAAATATTCAAAATATGATTTTGGGAGATTTACGCACATGCTATACAATTCTCATGTATCTACAAATCTAATGCCTATAATTTTATATTTTACACTCAATATTTTGGTGTCACAAATCTATACCTAAAAAGGTGTACATGAAAATCTATATTTCATTTTCAAAAATTTAATAATTGTGGAATTTTTGAAAATTTTAATAATTGTGGAATTTTTGATGTGATGTTAAAATTGTGAGTGTTATAAATGTATATATATGAAAAAATAGGTGTTTGGTATATAAATACATGAGAATTGTGTGCTATGTAAACAACCCTATGATTTTTCACATTCTATGACATCTAATTCTATTATAGAAACTTGGTTTTCAAAACACTAAACTCTATATAAAAATAGATCATATTATCTCTTTTATGTGGAATTTTTCATAGAATATCTATCTAAACGTAGAAATTTCATTACTGTGCATTAGAAAATGGATTTCCTTAAGCAAGGGGAAAGTCCAAATACTCAGCGGGCCATATGGCCAAATGGGTCAAGATCATGAATCATGCCCTTAATGATATGATTCTGGCTATGCAAATACTACTTGTTAGCAATGGCTTTGAAGGTGACAGGTTCTAGGGCTTCTTGCCGCCTAGAAGAACCCCACAAGTACCTCCAAGACTTATCAACATTCACGTGAGTTCATGCGAACGTGCTCTTTAAGCTTAAATCATCAAGCCAGTTCTTCCAATCGAGCTCGCTCATGTTTTATAAGATCTTCCGAGCTCGCATGGACGGGTTGAACCTTCCCACCAAACTCGTCGACAACTACTTGACTACACCTGAGCTCTATGGGCATTTCTTCCTGGCATAAGAAAGAGAAATATAGAATGTTGGACACATATCACCATATATTAACAACATGATAGTACACACCAGTGGTCTTGTTAATGATAAGTCTACTCAAGCTTTGTACTATACATCCTAACTTAATTTTATATTTTTTTCTTAAAACCCCTATGCGGGTACATAGGCCCTATAGCATATAAAGGAAAAGACCCCTATGCGGGTGCATAGGCCCTATATCATATAAATAAGACAAAGCATATAAAGGCGAGAGGAGAGATTAGATGATGGACCCTAAAAAACACTCTAAATATACTTCTCTAAGAGAATCCTTCAGCTTCTTCCCACTTCTTTCATCAGATATCTCCTGGATTGTATGAGTTCACAAATTATATGGGATCCCCCACATCCCAAATGGATGCAACATCCTAAAAGGTGCGGTGAGTGTGGAGTTTATTCTCAAAATCTAGGAAGGAGATGTTCCATTTCAAGGAGGAACAAAGAACAATGATTTGTTGCCTAGAGAATTCATGACACTGAAAATGAATGAACTCAGACAACTAATGAATAAGAAAATAGAAGAAGAAAGGCAAGAGATGTCCAGAACCTATTCCATAAATTGTTTGAAGAGCCAAATGGATCGTTAAGATCAGTAGCATGAAGACAAGAATAACAAATGAACCTAAAAACAAGAGAGGAGGCACCTCGAGTTAGGGCAAGTAGAGTCTTAGATCTGACATTAGAAGAAGAAGGAAATAATAATGTCGTGTTACAAATTCTCAGAGAAGAGGTGCCAAATTCTTCAGAAGATGAGGAAAGAGGAAGACAAAGAAGAAGAGTGTGATGATTACTACAGAATGCATTCTCCCAAAAAATATATTGAATCAAAACCCCCTCAGTAGGTTCAAATCCCTTTTTAGGCTCTTATAAAAAAAGAACCGATTCTATAGACCATGTATTCTCTTTCAAATTATTAGTTTGCATGCTACAAGTAAATGATCCCCTTAAGTGCAATTTATTCCTTACAATGCTCAAGGAGTTGGCTTTGCACTAGTTTAATAAATTGTGGATATGTGTCATTACCTATTTCGACAAATTTAAATAGATATTCATTACACAATTCATCAGCACTCATAAGCCACAAAATAACTGTCAAGATTTACTGAAGATAGATAAGCTCCATTCGAAAGCCTCTGAAGCTTCATTACTAAATTTCAATGCGAGATGCTTGACATAAAAAATCTTGAACATTTAATCGCTCATGCAACGCTCACATAAGATCTACGGGAAGGCTCGTTCTGTTATGCACTTGGCTTGCAAAAGCCAACAACTTTAGTTGAACTCCTGAATTAGCCAGTGATCATATCTCTCCTAAAGAGTAATTTTTTTACCGAACCCCTTTAGCCAGAGGAGAGCACATAAGAAATTTCATAAAAGAGATACCTTCAAACACCGGTAACCTTGACATCGATTAGCGCAAGCCAACCAATGAGACGTACCCAAATGATGCTCTCAATATCAACAACAATTGAAGCAGCCCAATTGAACGTTTATTATAAAATATCCAAAAAGGATAGGAGGTAGATGCTCAATCCTTTGTGTTAGAAATCACACACTTTTGTGAGTATTGATAACTGAGATTGCAAAGATCATCTTGAAAAAAAAAATTCTTAAAGAGGCCTCCATCGACTAAGGCCAGAAGCTTCTAATGTAATCTCAACAAATATTGCACCTTACATCGTGACCATGGGAATGATACCGAGGAATGTCATCATATCTAAAACCTAATCAAAGAATTAATCTTGGAAGAAACACTAAAAGAATTCATTTTGCTAGAAGCCAATAGTCAGAGGCGAGGGAAGGCGACCGTCAAGACCGTTTATGATGGGTCAGTTCCCACCACAATTGTACATACTAGTGGCATCACACCAACCACATTTGGCAGAGTTGGACCTGAAGCCACAAAGTATCTGAGTTTAAAGAGAGTGAAAGTAGGAGATATTCATTCCACCAACATAGACTAGAGCTACCACTTCCATTCATCCAACGAAAGTGGGTGGGAACCATTTAATGATGCTACAATTGTTACTGTAGTAATAAAAAGTCATCAAATCAAAAGTATTTTAGTGGATACAGGATGCTCTGTCAACATATTTTTTGAGAAATTATTTCAAAAGATGAACATGACAAATGCCAACTTGCTTCTACTTTGTGGGTTCTCAAGAGAAAGAAAAGAGGCATGTGGAGTCATTTCCCCACCAACAACTTAGAGAGAGGCAGATAAGCAATACACATCCATGATATATCTCATAGTGGTGGAAGCCCCAACCACCTACATTAATGTCATCTTTAGCAGACCAATGCTCAATCCATTCAAGACAGAAACTTCCACCTATCATGTATCTTTCAAGTTCTAAGAAAAGAAGAAATTGTCACGGTTTAGGGGACTAGTTCCAGTTTTGAATATGCTACTTGCGAGTAGTTTGTAACGTGCAAAAGAACCCCCATGAGCACAACGCGCAAAAAAGGATTTAGTTTGGAAACCACTGATGCCACTAAGCAAGTGCCCATCTGTCAAACATTCCAAATTAGCTCCAACTTGAGTTGAAACCATAAAGCACACCTTATTTTAATCTTGAGAAGTCATCGTGACATATTCGTATGGAATGCTAGTGAGATGTCTGACGTCTACATCGATATCACTTGCCACTAGCGCAAGCTCAATCCCAATATCAGACATGTCAAACAAAAGATGCAAGTTGTGGCCACTTCCTTGGCTGAACCTATCCAACAAAATGTTTGGAAGCTAACTTCATCTGCGAGTTTTAATATCTGAACTGACATGGTGATGGCCCGTTGAGCGAACAATAAGTGGAGAATGTGTATGAAATTTACTAATATGAATATTTTTTGCACTAAGGACAACCATTCCATACCACAAATCGATTCCTTGGTAGATTCACCAATAGTCCATTTAGTTACGAGGTTTTTAGATACCTTCTCAGGATATTATCAAATAAAATTACATCTCTCAGACGTCGA